GTAATACTTATCGCTTCCATTTTCTGATTAATACAAGTTAGGACAAACAAATTTCTTAGTTATTGACTTTTTGTAATCAATCAATCAATCAATCAATCAATCAATCAATCAATCAATCAATCAATCAATCAATCAATCAATCAATCAATCATTTTTCACTTGATAAGAATTGATTGAAATATTCATTAACTTCCAATCTTTGTCAATTCATCAGTTACCTGCCAACCCAGAGATGAAGTAAAAAGAACCCAGCCACAGAAACCTGATGAAACGAGATCAGAGAAGGAACAAAGTGGAGCTACACCACAAGAGGAAGACAAAGTGGGAAAAACACAAGCTGATGATGGAGCTACACCACAAGAGGAAGAAAAAGTGGGAAAGACACAAGCTGATGATGGAGCTACACCCCAAGAGGAACAGAAAGTGGGAAAAACACAAGCTGATGATGGAGCTACACCCCAAGAGGAACAGAAAATGGGAAAGACACAAGCTGATGATGGAGCTACACCACAAGAGGAAGAAAAAGTGGGAAAGACACAAGCTGATGATGGAGCTACACCCCAAGAGGAACAGAAAGTGGGAAAAACACAAGCTGATGATGGAGCTACACCACAAGAGGAAGAAAAAGTGGGAAAGACACAAGCTGATGGCGAAGATAAACCTCTGACTATCTGGTAAAGTACTGTACAATGTAGAAAAATGCTGACTTGATTCATTCCAGTGTTTTGATCAAATGCTTGAAAAAGTGTTTGTAAAAAAGAAAAATCTTGAGCAGTTTGGTTTGCTAAAAGTGGGCCCCAAGTATGATAAATGTGGCTTTTAGAAGAAAACTAGAGGAAAATTAACGGAGGAAATTTAACTGTGTTTCAATGGTTCCAGGTGCATGAAAGGGAATTTGCAGATCTTTGTGCAGTATCCTGTGCTTCATGGACAAAAGATACTGTGCCTCCAACTTCACAAAGAGATAGCTGTCTCATCCTTGAAAGAGTTGATACATAAGAGAATTGGTGTCAAACCCAAACTTCAGCATCTTCATATCAGGAGAAATACTCATAATTTTCAGGTAGAGAGATGTCATTTTGGTATATAAACAGATACATGTATTTAGGAATTCTGGAAAATTCAAATGCAATTTGATTTTTGTTAACACAGGAAAGCATGTTCATTAGCTCTTCTAATTATCCATTCTTTTTCCTTCGGTGTGAATGTCAAGTCACTGTAAGAAACCACTTTCTGATGAATGCATTTAATTAGCTTTTTTGCAAATTTGTCTTGCCAGCTTCAGGACTTGCTTACACTGAATGACTGTGGAGTTCAACAAGATCAGACTATCTTACTCCGTCTGTCAACTGATGGCCTGCTGGGTGGTGGACCAACAGGTGGATAATTGCTGCAAATGTTACCGTTTGCAATAATGTTGCTTTAATTAATGTTGTGGTTATGGTGTGCATTGAAATAACTTTCAGTGAATCGTAATGAAGGTTTAAATTGAAAAATATCCTGTTATTTTTCCAAGGTAAAATAAAAGACTGTTTGAACCACCAACTTGGATATATTCTCTTTTAGGAGATAAACATGCTACAATCAAGTTTACTTAACGATCCGAATGATGCAGAAAAACAAAAAAAATATTAAAAACAAAGTATGATGACACATCTTAATCAGAGGACAGGAAGATATGTCATAAGACTTGTCCTAAATGTTTCCACTGATAACCATTAATCTTCTTTGTGATTGTAATGAAACTTTCTTTGTGAATATGGTCATTACCAAAGGACTTGGAATGAATTTGGGCCAGCTAGATGCTCTGTCTACATTGTATAGTGGTGGTATAATCTCTATAATATATGTCATTACAGGGGAACTGCCTGACGAAACCCTCCGTGGCATGTCTGAAAAGATTCCAGCACAGAAGTTGATGAAACTTGGAATAGAGCTGGACTTCAGGCGTTCTGAAATCACAAAGATTGATGGCACCAAACGCTGCCCTGCAGATAAATTCTTTGAGCTGCTTATCAGATGGAGAAACAAGCAACCTGGTGATGTCAATCAGACAGAAGCTCTCTGCAAAGCATTGAAGGAGGTTGGGGAAACAAGACTTGCTGACGACTTGGCAGGTATGTACATCGTGTGACAAGCTAGAGCAAGTCACCGTCATGTAATTGAATTTCTTTGAAATAAAGAAAATATTGTGCAATTTAGCCGGACATAACTGAACGAAATAGGATCAAAAAAAGGGACTTTCCTTGAAGCAGTTGCATTTTATGGTCACTGGAAGGAGAAACTAAGAATGCCCAAAGTAGAGCCCAACAGGATTGAGCTGTTGCTATTTTGTGACTGATTGGCAATCAGAGACTAATAGGGCAAACAATTTTTTAAAATTTTGCCTTCAGTACAGGGTGAGAAATTGCTATTGTAATGCTTGCATAACACAAGTGGAAACCATATAGAAACCAAGTACAAGTTATCCTCAACTCATGCTTGCATAGTGTGAAAATTGGAAAAGTACCAAAATTGTTTGCAATTACATCTTTCATAATCACAGCCAGCATGATCCATGTAGGAATAAAAAAAATAACAAAAGTAACTTTCTGTTTGTCTTCGTTGTTCCAGCTAGTTGTAGCTCAGAACGCTGTAAAATCTGTATAATGTTGGTGTACATAGTAAAGTGCAGATTGATAACAACATTGTTGCATAACATCCTTTCACAGCAAGTTTTAAATAACAGAATGGTGTGATTTTTGAGCAACTTTTTCAGTTTCATGCATTATTTTTGTTGTCATGAAATGTTCATAGTCAAAGCAGAAATGTCTGCAACTGTGTGACCATCATCTAAAACTGAATCCCCAGCAATTTCGCTCAGTGTTGGGGTCATGTATTCGACATCTAACAAGTAAAGTAAGCTTAGTATTATTTCATTGTTGTGGATACGTATGATACATTGAATTACAAATATTAGCGCAAGTAAAATTTTTGCTTGCGCAACTGAAGTTGATTCAAATGCCAACTTGATCAAGGTGCAAGTAATTTTTTGGACAATTTCCGGGCCTGTAGTGCAAACAGGGAAAACATTTCAAATTCCTCAGGCTTTGTGAGAGAGTCAACAGCAGACTCCCAGAATATGAGCACTTCTCATTGCATTGTGCATATGTAAAATAATTTTTAGACGGCAAATTATGATATTAATTATTCGTGACACAGCAGCTCGGTAGGGTGCAAATGACTCTCTGTGGTCTATAGTATTAAGCACTATTCACAAATGTGAATGAGCACTGTATACAAGCTTTGACTGGTGCAGCAGGGCAGCTAATGAGTAAATACATGTATGGCCGAAGATTCTTAATGTAAAAAAATGTGAACAATTCCAATTCTTAGTCTCTTGTGTTACTTGATTTGACTGTGGGTGGTGCATCACTCCAGTCTGGTCAACCATCTGGTGGCATGTCAGAGAATCAATCCAGTACATCACAGCAACTGACCACACAGACTGCTGTCTCACACTCACTGACACCAGGTAGTCAACAATAGTAGATATAGGCTGTACTACTTCTATGAATAAAATAATTGTCAGGGGCTGTTAACACTCATTGCCTAAATTTCTTATCTACTACATCCTTTGATGTGCCTTACCGCAGGTACAGTAAAAGTCAGATCCTATGCCAAGACTGACCTACCCAACATGAAGAAAATGATATGCATTACACAGTCATTAATCACCAGCCATATAACAGCCACAACTCACAAAACATGAAATAAAGCAATACCGCTTTGTTTGTAACATCAAACATTTTATTTCTACACTACATATACCACACAACAGAAAATCAAAGCAGATTTTACTGTTTTTGCTACAAGTCTGTACCATAAGCGTTGTAGTGTTTATACAGCAGTATGTACATGTGTTTTGGTTATATCCAGCATTTGATGTACAATTGTGGCAAAGGGGTACCCCCCATGTGATGCACAAGCCACATTGTATATACCTTAAGGCTATTGTGCCTACTGCACATTCCTGGAAATCTGTAAGGAATTCCAAAGATTCCATCAACACAAAAGAAGATAAACTAGAGGGGGGTCTTCATGTATGATTACTGACAATTATTTTACACTTCTGCTGCACATTCACAGCCTCAGCATGCCTTTAAAGGATAAGTGATTCTGTGTAGATAGCACCATGGGTTGTGCAGCTTTTGTCTTGACATAATTTTGTTTAAAATAAAAATGAATTTGAAACCCATTCAAAGACGTTTTGTAAAAAGTTTCAATGGTGTATACCAAGCCCTGGTCATGTCTGTCAAGGAATTTGTCTTCTTGATAACTTGATAATCATTTTTCATTAATCATTTTTCATTTGCTTTCCAATATCAACTCCTCTGTTTTATTATACATAGTTGGTACACATACATCACTCCAGCCTAGTCAAACATCAGTTGACATGCCAGTGAATCAACCCAGTACATCGCCGCAACCGACCACACAGGGTGTTGTCCCATACTCACAGTTGACAGTAAACTTAGGTAATGAACATTCGTCAAAACATATTATATTTCTGTAAGAAAGATTATATGAGGCTGTATTGAGTTTTTTGTCCCTCGATGAAATTTCCAGAGTGTATCTTCCATATTCTTTGAAATTCTCTTCAAAGTTTTGATGTAAAAAGGGATTGTAATGCTCACCAAAGTCTGTGAAAAGAATAAGGAATTGCAAATTGACGGCTTAAAAATTGTGTCAATTCAGCTGTCATTGTGGTTTTATTTGTCTGCGAAGGAGGTGCAAACCAAAGATGGGGATGGGGAGGGGGCAGAGTTGGAGATGGATAGGATGATGAGGAGGGGGCAGAGTAGGAGATGGATAGGATGATGGGAGGGG